GCTTCGCGCGGATTTCTTGGAGCCGCGCCGGGCCCCCCCCGGTGCCGCCCCTGGCGCGCTCTGCTCTCCAGGGCTGGGGGCTTCAGCGCAGATCCAAGGAATCCGCGCGGAGCGCCGCAAGTTTATGCTTATGCCGTTTTTTGTTTCTTCGATCCCCACCCCCTCGTACATTTAGATCGGGCCTGTCCCTCTACAGGAGGATTCTTCCAAAATAGTCCAAAAATCGTCGGGGGACGATGTTTTGAGTATTCTTGGGCATTCGTGGAGTATTTTTGACCATGTTTTATTTCGTCGTCCAAAATCCCCCTCTGGGGGGACAGGCCCGACTCAAGCGCACACCCTCCCCCCGGGGGGGGGGGGGGGGGCGGGGCGGGCCGGAGGTGGAGGCCCCCCCCCCGAGCTCGCGGCTCCAAGCTGGGTCGCACCATCTGGGGCCAGACGGGTTGGGGGGCCATGTCGGTTGACGGCGACGGCGTGGCCGAAGTTTTGCAAAAAAACCAAAGATTGCAAAAAAAATCCTGAACGAAGGATTGAAAAAAAAAAAAAAACATTTTTTTGCAATCATTTTTTCCAATCCTTCAAAAAACCAAGGTTTGTTGCAATCCTTCGTTTTTTTGCAATCCTGGGTCCAGGCCAGCGGGCCCCTGCCCGTGGCGCTGCCAGTGCAGCGCACCATCAAGTGGGCCGAGTTGTGGGCTTTCCTGCAGATGCTGCGCCACGCCAGGACCGCTGCGACGGGCGTCGGCGAAGGCTGCACGGTGTGCGCGGATCACCTCGCCATCGTGCTGGGGCTGCGGCGAGGCCGGGCGTGGTGCTGCTGCGGCGAACGAGCCCAGAAGGCAGATTCGGCTCTGCATCGAGGATCGCGAGTTCCCCGTTGAAAACGTGAAGCACGGCAAGGCCCACCGGAGCAGATCAGCCATGTACTCTATGGAGGGCCAGGAACGCCAGGCGGCCCTCGGCAACTATTGGGCCGACCGGCTCGCGAAGGCGGCCGCGGAGACGGACGCAGGCTTCGGGCGCGAGCAGACCATCATGGAGGCGAGCGACCGAGTCACTTGGGCCCTCCAAAACATCGGTCGGTGGCACGAGCGGATCGATAATTGGGGCGACATGCAAGAGAAACCCGCCGAGCTGCCCAAGAAGAGAGGGCAGTCCCTGGCGGCGCGACCTTTGGACCTGGTCCAGCACGACCTGCAGCGCACCAAGGATGGCGTGCGATGCCGTGCATGTGGGCGCCAGGCCCGCACGCGCGAGTCCCAACGGCACTTGTGTGCCAGCATGTGCGTGCCGAAGCCTTGGCAGCGTATCGACAAGATCGCCGACCACCGATGGCCATCGCAGTCTTGGGCAGGCGAGTCGGACGAGCGCAGTTGCTTGGGCCAGACGCGGCCGCTAGCGTGACCCGTCCGGCTGAGGGTGCTGCTGCTGCAAGGGCTACGAGCTCCAGGGACGACGGCGAGTCGAAACCGGACTACCTGCTGCGCGCGGTCCGTGGGCCTGGCCATGCAGCGGCCCCGGGGGCGGCCTCGCCAGCTTCATCTGCGGCCCTCCGCGCAGCCCCAGCCGCCGCCAGAAAACGCCTCCCCAGCTTCTGGGCCCCAGGGGGTGCCAGAGGTGGAAACTGCCCCCTGTTTCTGGCCGCTCGGGGAGGCTTCCCAAACCCCCGGCTGGCGGCCTTGGAGGCCCCCCTGGGAACCCGCTCGGCGGCCTCGCCAGCCGCCCCAGCGGCTGCGTCGCCCCAGGAGGCGAGCCCGGCCGCTCCAGCGGCGCCAGTGGCCGCACAGGATGAGGTTGTCTCGCTGGACGGCGCCTCCGACGGCGCGCAGGAGGGCGAGTTCGCCAGCGACGAGGTCAGCCCAGCGCAGACGCACGCGGGAGTCGCAGCAGGAGTGGCGCTCGCAGCGGAGGCGGCGGCGCGGCAGGCCGCAGGGCGTGACGAGCCTGAGGGGCCTCCTGCTGGCAGCTGCCGTCGGCTCTAGGCGAAGGCGCGGGCGGCCAGCGCGACGGCGGGCGCGCCCAGCGCGCGCCGCCCCCGGACGAGCGCGCGCGCCAGGAGCAGCGTTGAGCCCCAGCTCGCGCTCGGCGACGGGCTTGAGCGAGCACGGAGGCCCGCGGCGGAGGAAGTTGGGCCCCGGCAGGCGGCGGCCTTGGAGCCGGCCCCAGCGCCGCCGCCGCCCCCGCCGCGCGGCTGGCCCATGAGCCAGAAGGCTCTGCAGGCGCGGTGGGGCGCCAGCATCGCGTGCTGGAGTGCTGCGGCTACGTAGTCTGCGGGGCTTGCGGCGCCTGCGCCCAGCGCCGCCGCGCCGGGCACGCGGGGGCCTGCCCTGGGCGCTCGGAGCAGACAGACAGGGCAGAGGTCGAGCGGCGGCGGGCCGCGCGCGTCCGGAGCGGGCTGCGCCGTGCGACAAGGAAGCCGCTGACTGGTGGTTGAGCCGCACAGTGTGAGTAGAGCGTTGTAAATGCAGGCGCTTCGAGTCGGCGCTCCAGGAGTGTTAGA